TGTCTCTCAACCTGCCTGTCTGTCTATCTGTCTGTCTGTCTCTCAACCTGTCTGTCTGTCTGTCTATCTGTCTGTCTGTCTCTCAACCTGTCTGTCTGTCTGTCTGTCTATCTGTCTGTCTGTCTCTCAGCCTGTCTGTCTGTCTCTCAACCTGTCTGTCTGTCTATCTGTCTGTCTGTCTCTCAGCCTGTCTGTCTGTCTCTCAACCTGTCTGTCTGTCTATCTGTCTCAACCTGTCTGTCTGTCTCTCAACCTGTCTGTCTGTCTATCTGTCTGTCTGTCTCTCAGCCTGTCTGTCTGTCTATCTGTCTCTCAACCTGTCTGTCTGTCTCTCAACCTGTCTGTCTGTCTGTCTGTATGTATATCTCTCAACCTGCCTATATGTCTGTCTGTCCGTCTGTCTGTCTCTAAGCCTGTCTATCTGTCTGTCTGTCTGTCTATGGTAATGTGCTGATTGTCTCTCTGCATCAGTCTTTGTCTCCTCGACGCTTCATGAATTTGAGTGTCTCTCAGTTTTTGTTCAGTGTTATTTATATTGTGTCCATTTGTCCGTCCGTGACACAAAGCACGAGGTTTATTCTCTGAATAAATATGAGCGGATCTGAATGAGGCGTTAAAGCACACATGAGGGACGCGTGTGTGTGTGTGTGTGTGTGTGTGTGCTGTTAATCTCCTCTCCTTGTAGGTTGTAAAGCAGGTTGTCCAGCTTGCTAATGGATCGATCACTGCTGAGACAGAGAGAGGGAGAGTGTGTAAATAAATACTAGAAGATTGAAGATTTTTATTATTATTATTATTATTATTAATTTATTTTAATTTTTATTTATAATTATTTATTTATTTGTTTGTATTGTATAGTGTTATGAGTGCTTTGGCAATGTAAAGATTTCTTTCACCATGCCAATAAAGCTATTTGAATTGAATTGAATTGAGAGGTAGAGAGAGAGAGAGAGAGAGAGAGAGAGAGAGGTAGAGAGAGAGAGAGAGAGAGAGAGAGAGAGAGAGAGAGAGAGAGAGAGAGGTAGAGAGAGAAAGGTAGACAGAGAGAGAGAGAGAGAGAGAGAGAGAGAGAGAGAGAGAGGTAGAGAGAGAGAGAGAGAGAGAGAGAGAGAGAGAGAGAGAGAGAGAGAGAGAGAGAAAGGTAGACAGAGAGAGAGAGAGAGAGAGAGAGAGAGAGAGAGAGAGAGAGAGAGAGAGAGAGAGAGAGAGAGAGAGAGAGAGAGAGGGGGAGAGAGAGAGAGAGAGAGAGAGAGAGAGAGAGAGAGAGAGATGCACAGATGGGCTTGTTTTATCAGGTTCATATAATCTTGTCATGGTTGTGTTCTGTGTGTTCTGTGTGTTCTGACACACACCTGTACGTCTGCGACTCCTTTCATCCTGAGCCGTAACGTGTCTGCTTTTCTCTCGCAGTGACAGTCAGATCAGACGAGAGTGAGACTCACACACACACACACACACACACACACACACTCACACTCTCACTCACACACTCTCACACAGCTTTGTTTTTGTGATATATGAGGACATTCCATAGGCGTAATGAATTTTATACTGGATAAACTGTATATTCTATCCCCCTACACTGCCCCTATCCCTAAACCTGCCCATCACACACACACACACACACACACTGCCCCTATCCCTAAACCTGCCCATCACACACACACACACACACACACACACACTGCCCCTATCCCTAAACCTGCCCATCACACACACACACACACACACACACACACACACTGCCCCTATCCCTAAACCTGCCCATCACACACACACACACACACACACTGCCCCTATCCCTAAACCTGCCCATCACACACACACACACACACACACACACACTGCCCCTATCCCTAAACCTGCCCATCACACACACACACACACACACACACACACACACTGCCCCTATCCCTAAACCTGCCCATCACACACACACACACACACACACACACTGCCCCTATCCCTAAACCTGCCCATCACACACACACACACACACACACTGCCCCTATCCCTAAACCTGCCCATCACACACACACACACACACACACACACACACACACTGCCCCTATCCCTAAACCTACCCATCACAGGAGACATGCTGCATTTTTACATTTAAAAAAAAACATTGTTTTTTATGTTTTTTAAGCTATTTGAAATATGAGGACTCATGCAATGTCCTCATATATCACGTGTAAGTTGTAATACCAGTGTAATATGCATGTCATTATACACATTTGTGTCCTCATATATCACAAAAGCAAGAGCTCACTCACACACTCTCACACACACACACACACACACACTGGTCGTCTCTCCGGATTCTCCTTTCGTCAACATTTCCAAACAATATCTATTCTTACGGTTGAAGGTTATAGCTGAATGAGATCATCATAATCATCAGTTATTAATCATCATATCCTCATGTTAAAGGGTTTCCAGAGGCCAATAGAGCAGCACTCGGTCTGGAAGTTACAATCCCGTTCATTTCTCCAGGGGAGTTTGTAGTTCTGCTAATACACTGTCGAGCACAGCTCCACTGTGAGCTACGAGCTTCTGAACGCCGCAAGCTTGCATTTTAAACTTATTGGAAATAACTTGTGCAGAAACAATGGAATTCTTGGTGAAAAACTACATTACCCATAATTCTGCAGAGAATCTCCACCAATCAGAGGATCACAAGCAAATTGTGCCGAAAGAACCGTCCGCTCCCGCGAAGCACGGCAAGCCTCCACACGCTGCAGAGTACGGCATAGTACACTGGTTATGCATATATATATATAACTAACGTCTTGAAATAAATAGTTTTATTTCTGTCCATTGTTTTTAATTCGATGATGTAATTTGCAATGCTTCATGGGATTGTAGTTCTTTGTCTTTTTGTCAGGTTTTCAAATGTGATTCTGCTGGGTTTGGTTCATGGGTTCTAACTCGTAAATGAAGACTTCAGAAAATTGCTTCAGTGCTGATGATTGAGCTATGAGAGAGTCACAGTAGAGGAGCTGTGTTGAATCTGTTTTGTCATAAAGTGAAAACCAAATGAGTCATATAGAATTACGGCTAAGGGTCAAAGGTCATTGTCTATGCTGGTTTGAATGTACCGTCACACCCTGAGTTCAGTTCATCCGGCGTCAGTGAACGCAGGTGTCATTCTGTGTGTGTGTGTGTGTGTGTGTGTGTGTGTGTGTGTGTGTGTGTGTGTGTGTGTGCGTGTGTGTGTGTGTCTGTGTGTGTGTGTGAGTTGGTTTATGTGATTTATGAGGACACAAATTTGTATAATGACATGTGTATTACACTGGTATTACAACTTATGGGTGGTTTATGAGGACATTTCAAAAGTCCTCATAAATCAAATGGCTTAAAAAACATAAAAAACAATGTTTTATTAAAAAATAAAAAATGCTGCATGTCTCCTGTGATGGGTAGGTTTAGGGATAGGGGCAGTGTAGGGGGATAGAACATATAGTTTTTACGGTATAAAAACCATTACGCCTATGGAGAGTCCTCATAATGCTGTTGCACCAACATGTGTGTGTGTGTGTGTGTGTGCATGTGTGTGTCTGTGTGTGTGTGTGTGTGTGTGTGTGTGCGTGCGTGTGTGTGTGTGTGTAATGCATGGTCAGTTGAATCCCCTGTCTGTTTGTAATCTGTTGTCAGTAATTGATGACTGCAGAATTGCTCTTCCGAAGAGACTCTCATTAGCGGACGGTTCTGCACTAGCGCACTCTCTCGTCTCTGACGCTTTATTGTGACCAAAACACACTCTTTTAAACTGATATGACGCTGAAATGCAGTAAAGATGTCATGGACATCACGGTTTTCTCCAGAGCCGCTATATATATATATATAAATGAACTAAATTAATAACTTTTTTACAACAGAAATGAAGCATCACTGAACTGGCTTAAGCTGGACTGTGACGCTATTCTCTTCTGGAAACACACTGTTGCATTATTCTCCTGTTATCTCTGTAAAGCTGCGCAAATACATATTGCATTTTTATTATTGGATTGTTTTTTGTTGTTTTTTTTTCTGTATATTTAACTTGAGTAAACTCTTAGGTCTTAAGGCTTATCTAGTGTCTTTTAAACGTATTCCTTACTATATAGATTCTAATTTGGTATTTTTAGCTGATTTATTTATTATTAGAGTTGGTGTTTGTGTGATTCTACTGTTTGTAAGTGTTATGAGTTGTGTAAGCTACTGGTTCCTTGGATTTCCCGAAAGGGATGAATAAATGTGATAATGTTTTTTATTTAATATTTTGTATTTTTAGGAAATTTTATAGTACTAAATTATATTTTTGCTGTATTTATGATCCATTTATTCACATTTTGAGCATAGACCTGGAAATTTTATTTCCATCTTAAACTGTGGTAAATCTTGAATGCTTTAGAGGGACAGACTGAAGCTTGATCTCTTCTTAAAGATGACACTTGGCAGAAAGTAAAAAAAGTTACTACAGACATTTATGTTTATTGTTATGAAAAATTTCCAAAAATACTATTTTAAATTTTTATATGAAATATATATTTTCAAAAACATGTTTTACTCTAAATCTGTGAGAAAATCTAAATCTAAACAAGTGTGTGTTCCGCATGTGAGGCTGATCTCTCAGTAAATGAGCGTTCAGTGAGAGTGTGTTCGGCTGCAGTTCCACACGCTTCCACTAGAGGAAACTCTCCATTCATTTCCAGTGCGCGTTTCTGACCGCGAGGAGCACAAGTGTGACTGTTGCTTTCAGGACCATTAAACCTGTTCACATCATGGCCACGATTTATGTGTGTGTTCACACAGCAAGTGCCAAAATCTTTACCATGTTTCGGACCATTCTGATGAAGAAAGAAATTCTAAAATGACCGCAGAGCCCCAGACATGACGCTAAGACGTAATAAAGACTGTGGTAAACTAATCCCATCTCTCTCTCTCTCTCTCTCTCTCTCTCTCTCTCTCTCTCTCTCTCTCTCTCTCTCTCTCTCTCTCTCTCTCTCTCTCTCCAGGCTCAGAATCTTCCATTAGTCCCGATGGAGCCGGATGTGGAGAGCACCGTGACGGTCCGACAGCACAAGCGGCCCAAGCGGGGCGAGCCCAAGCCGGAGCGGGACCGGGAGCGAGCCGAGGCCCAGCGCTACGTGCGCAAGGACGGCAAGTGCAACGTGCACCACGGGAACGTGCGCGAGACCTACCGCTACCTGACGGACATCTTCACCACGCTAGTGGACCTCAAGTGGAGGTTCAACCTGTTCATCTTCGTGCTGGTGTACACCGTGACCTGGCTGTTCTTCGGCTTCATGTGGTGGCTGATCGCGTACATACGCGGAGACCTGGAGCACATCGGGGACAACCAGTGGACGCCGTGCGTTAATAACCTCAACGGCTTCGTGTCGGCGTTCCTCTTCTCCATCGAGACGGAGACCACCATCGGCTACGGCTACCGAGTGATCACCGATCAGTGTCCCGAGGGGATCTTGCTCCTGCTGGTGCAGTCGGTGCTCGGCTCCATCGTCAACGCCTTCATGGTGGGCTGCATGTTCGTGAAGATCTCGCAGCCGAAGAAGCGCGCCGAGACGCTAGTGTTCTCCACGCACGCCGTGATCTCCATCCGCGACGGCCGGCTCTGCCTGATGTTCCGCGTCGGAGACCTGCGAAACTCGCACATCGTGGAGGCGTCCATCCGAGCCAAGCTCATCAAGTCCAAGCAGACCAAAGAGGGCGAGTTCATCCCTCTCAACCAGACGGACATGAACGTGGGCTACGACACGGGAGACGACCGGCTGTTCCTGGTGTCCCCGCTCATCATCTGCCACGAGATCAACCAGCACAGCCCGTTCTGGGACATCTCCAAACAGCACCTGGCCCACGAGGAGCTGGAGATCGTGGTGATCCTGGAGGGCATGGTGGAGGCCACAGGTACGCAGGTTTACACTGTATCAAAATATGTGCGTAGTGTGTGTGATGTCACCCGTAGCGTTTCTGAAGCCCAAAGTGGGCGGAGCCGGCCGTCGCCATCTTGGCCGCGCGTCACTCCCGGATAAACGAACATGTGCAGCGAGGCGGATTAGCTGAGGTGACGCTAACACACAGCAGACAAACGGCTAGCAGTGACATCAGCGGCTATCCACCTGTCACTCAAGTGGCCACGCCCTTAACTATGCAGAACTTAAAGGGTTAATATAATTTAAACGGATGAGTTATAAAAACATTCACCCCCCTCACAGTCGTCATGAAGGGCAAAATTAGCTTTAAAGACCAAAACCACTTTTAGCACCAGACTGTAAACGTGTGTTCTTCTGCTGTAAAGTTGGGCATTTTAACATGCGGGTCTATGGGACTGAGTCTCTTCTGCAGCCGGCCTCGAGTGGCCAGTGGAGGAACTGCAGGTTAAGGCACTTCTGCTTGGTCATGACACTGGCAGACGCTTTCATCCACTCGATCGCTTCATGCATTCGCTGCGAGTCGAACTGTGGCGTAGCTCGAGACGTGCTTTGAGTCGCAGGGAGTAGATCCTGCAATCCGTTCGTCTAGTGGGTTTGGCTTTTCTCTCGTCTGTATTTGCATACGTGGCCGAACGAATCAGATCACATTAATTTCGTTCTGTGGTATTTGAATTAACCCAGCAAGCAATATCCGTCATTTCACCGTCTCGGTTAACTATAGACCCGATATAGTCCGGCTGAGGAACACACTTCTAGCCAACATATCCTTGAATTTGATTACATGTCGTTTTTGCTAAAACAGCTTGTGAGATGTGTGATGTTCCATCATGTAAGCAGAGTCAACAGTGATTACAAGGTGTTCGGTTTCATTTCTTTGACATGTTCTATGTGTAGCCAGTGCGTGGGCGATGGTTAGTCGTCTATGTTCACTGACAGCCCTTGTGTTAGCCCAGACGTCTGGCTGTGTTTGGACACTATTAGACGTCTTTTAAACGCAGAATTGCATGCTGGGAGGTTCCGGCTTGATGTCCCACTGGATCGCGCAGCTTTGTCTGATGCGTTGGCGTAATCTCCACTGAAACAGGAAGCTAAGGCGGGATTTATTGAGTGGCCCCTCCCCCTTTTCCAGTAGCCAATAGCGTTTCGTTTACCTCACAGACTGACAGCACCATGGAAGCGAATCCGATACGCTGGATTCAATAGTAGAGGAATACATTCATTTGATTCTTAACCAGCGGGATAAAACTGGAGTGTTTGAGCAAACGAACTCACATCTCCAACACACATTACTCGCGTCGGCCAGGCGGTGTTTATAGCAGAGGGGGCGGAGCTTCAGATTCTAGAGAGCATGTGATTGGACAGAAGATGTGATGAGAAGCGGTGATGTCATAAAAATCCCTGATCCATTTTAGCGGAAGTGAGAGACTGTAAGTTTAAATGCTTATTTCTCCTAAATGCGAATTTTGTCGTTGTTTTTCTTATCCATAACCTGAAGGCTGACATATTCATACCAAAACCTTAAAAACGTACATTTTGATTTCAGGGGGCCTATTTTAGCAGTGGTTTGAACTGGCATGTATTCAGAGGAAGCTTCCTATCTCTGGTCGTCACACACACACACACACACACACCTCGGTCATGAAGCTGGAAGAACACACCGCTCTGTCCGTCACACGGATGATCTTAAAGGGACGGCTACATTTATGCATGAGCATTCTGGCATCATTTACTCGCCCACATGTCCTTCCAGATTTTCATATATTTTTAATAATCTCTCATCATTTTTTTATCCATCTGTTAAAGTGAGTAAACGGGGAATGGATTTTTATCCCAGAATTATCCCTTTAACAGCATCAGCCTGAGAAACATGGGCTCACAATATAAATATAGTACAAGATCGATACACAGCGGCTTATAAACGCTCCGAGTGCTGGGAAATATCCCAGAGATCCCACTGGAGTCCAGCACTGGAAACACCATAGACCAGTGTGACCTCGTGTGTGTGTGTGACTGTGTGTGTGTGTGTGTGTGTGTGGATCATTAAAGACTTTGAGCTCGATGATTATTTCATGAGCTCTTTTCCCACTTACATGATCCGGGATTCCGGAAGACAAAGTTTCCTTGAAGGTTCAGCAGCTCCTGATGAGAGAACAAGAGACAGATCCGTCGCTTCAGGCCCGCACAAACAACACACACAAGTAGTTATTATACTGCAGCTTGTGTCAAAATGATTGATGGTGACCTTTGACCTTGCCCCTCCCCTTGCCCTTCCTGTTTCCGGGGTCATGTATTAACCTTTGACCTACCCCTCCCGGTTTCCGGGGTTGATGGATTAACCTTTGACCTAGCCCTCCCCGTTTCCGGGATTGATGGATTAACCTTTGCCCTGATGAGCGTTCGATCATTTGGTTGACAGAAAGTTTTGACAGGTTGTGTAGTAGGGAGGGGGTTTTATGACCACCAGATGGTATGTGAACTTTTGACCCCGACCATGTGTTTCCGGAGTTTATGGCTATGTGTTTATGTGTGTGTGTGTGTGTGTGTGTGTGTGTGTGTGTGTGTTCATGACGGGGCAATTTGCTTGGTGTGACTGAGAGGAATGGTGTGTGTGTGTGTGTGTGTGTTTATGACGGGGCAATTTGCTTGGTGTGACTGAGAGGAATGTTTTCAGGGAAAGTTTTTATTATATCAGGATAATGTTCACAGAACGCCGAAATTATGAACATGAAGAGGTCTGACACGGATTTTCAGCCGGCACTGCACCATCCATATTGCCTGCTGAGGAGAATGAAACAAAATGAGTTTAAAGAAATAGCATTGATGACAAATAAAAGCTTATAAAATAAAACTTCATTATATATTTTAAAGCAAAGTTTTAAAACAACTCTGGAAATTAATGAGGAGGTATTTATGCGTCTATCTGGTTAGTCACAGACTCTTAAACCTTTCTGATCAGATGAAATGTCACAAAAATGAGTTTAAAGAAATAGCATTGTGCTTGAATAAAGCACATAAATAGTGATTAATTTAATTACACATTTAAAGTAAGTTTTAACATGTGCTGAACTTAATTAGGTATCCTTTATGCGTCTGAATATTGTTGCGGATTCTTAAGTCTTTCTGAGCAGATGAAATATCCCAAACAGTTTTAAGAAATTAAAAGCACTGTGCTCGAATAAAACACATGAATTAGTTATTAAATGAAGTAAGATGTTGAATTGACTATAAGCATTTTAATCAAATACACCCCAATATACTGTCTTAAATAAAACAGTGAATAACAGTTCATTATTTGAAACAATATGTCGAATTGACTATAAGCATTTTAATCCATACATCAGTGGTATAGGGTCTTACGCAGTTTAATAAAACATATACAATTTTGAATAATAGGGGATATTATGTGAAATAAGATGTTAAATTATCATGTATTTTAATCTAATACAACACAATATAATACATCACAATATGCTGTTTTACATAAATAAATAAAATAGTGAATAATAGCTGATATTATATGAAATAAGGTTAAATTATCAAGTATTTTAATCTAATACACCACAAAATACTGGCTTACACAGATAAATAATAGTGATGAATAATAGTTATATAATATTAGTTATATAATAGTAATGAATTATAGTTCACATTATTATGGTTATATAATATATAATAAGAGGTTAAATTATCCACAATATATGGTTTTACAAAGTTAAATAAAACATAAAATAGTGAAAATAGTTTGTACTATTTGAAATAAGATGCTAATTATCAGGTATATAATCATTTTAATATAATACGCACAATATACTTTCTTATACACCGATAAATAAAATAGTGAATAATAGTTGATATTATATGAAATAAGATTCTAAATTATTACGTATTTTATTCTAATACACCACGAAATACTGCCTTACATAGATAAATCAAACATAAAATAGCGAATAGTTGATATTATATTAAATAAGTTGTTAAATTACCAAGTATGCACATTTTAATCTAATACAGGTTCCTAGGTTCCAATATTCTATTGCATCTTCACTTCACTGACCACTATGTTGTCTGTTGTCTGCAATATACTGACTTACATAGATAAATAAAACATATAAATTTGTGAAACATATTATTTTAAACAAACTGTTAAATTACCAAGTATACAAACTTGAATCTAATACACACGAAATACGACCTTACACAGATAAATAAAACATATAATATATAGTGAATAAGAGTTCATATTATTTGAAATAAGATATTAAATTATAAAGTATAAGCATTTTAATCGAATGCACAACAATATACTGCCTTACACAGATAAATAAACATATAAAACAGTGTTTTTATACGAAATAAGATGACATTTTATTAAGTATTTAAAACTAGTTTTAAACGTATGTTGAAGTGTACCTACCATTGGTGAAATTAGGAGGTCTTTTTGGCTCTGGTTAAAATCACAGATCCTTGAATTTCTGAGGTGTTTGCTCTCCGTTTGCTAAATTGAAAATGAAGACCGCTTTCATCATGTCCGGGGCAATGGTCCGCCCCTTCCTCTCTGTGTAGCTGCTATCTTATGCTAGGTAATAGCATTAGGAGTTTGTTTCAGAAAACATCAAGCAATTAAAAGATAGTGCGGCCACCTGGTGTTTTACAATCAAAGACCACAACTGTCTCCAACCATAAAATCTTCTGATCTGTAGCATTCCTGTCTGGCGGGGAGACCCCAAAATGGGGCCATTTTGACACTTCACAGGCTGTAAGATCAATATAATTAGATGTTTATACCGGCGTCTTCAGGAAAAAGTCAAAACAAAATGGTCACAAAGTTACATATTATATAGCCTACTCTTATCCATTGATTGTGATGATAAGATAAATTGTCCTTATTTCTTGGGGAGTTGTCCCCATCCTGTTTTACTTGACACCTCACCCCTGAAGAGCAGGTTTATTTTTCTAACATTTAAACAACACCCT